CCCTGAGTTCTCTGTCGGGGAACCCAGCCATGTGGCCCCAAGTTCAGGTCTCCTTGATCCTGGGGAGTGAGTCGTGAGCAGGCGAGCTGAACACCCCAGCCCCGCCCTGGGGCTGCTCGCTGGCACCCAGCGCATAGCTGGAGGAGCTGCCTCCGTGCGTCCCCAGGCATGTCCCCTAGGTCTGGCCTGGTCCCTGAAGGCAGGGATGAGATGAGCGAGTCCCTGATGCCCTCAGTGTCAGGCAGGGAGAGGCGTGGACTTGTCAGGAGATTTTAGGGACCCTTGGCGAATGTTCACGAACCCCTTCTCCCTGCAGCGGCGGAAGTCGCGGTATGCAGAACTGGACTTTGAGGTGAGTCCTGGTGTCCCCCTCCCCCAGACACTTAGGGCCAGATGTGCTCTGAGCTCCCACACGGCCAGGCAGCTCCCCGGGAGCCAGGGGACGGGCAGGGCGGGCAGGGCGGGCAGGGTGGGCTCCTGGCCCAGGACTCACTGTCCAGACCCCGCCTGCAGAAGATCATGCACACCCGGAAGCGGCACCAAGACATGTTCCAGGACCTGAACCGGAAGCTGCAGCACGCAGCGGAGAAGGACAAGGAGGTGCTGGGCCCGGACAGCAAGGTCTGAAGGGCAGGGAGGGGCGGGGTGGGGAGAGCCCTTAGGTCAAGCCTCGTCTCCCTTCTTCCCTGGCTTTGCCCACTTCATCCACTCATTCATTCATTCATTTGCCTGTCCCTGAGGGCCGGCCTGACCCTGCCATGCCAGACTCTGGAGGCCACGGCCATGCTGGGAGCTGAGCGGTCACGAGCCTGCTCCTGGGGCCAGGGGTCTGGATTAGGGTGGAGCCAATCCAGCGCAGGGCCCCCATAGCCTGACCCGACCGTGGGGTTCACAACCTCTGCCAAGGCTGGGGAGAGGATCTGCGCCTGCCGCTGCCCAGCTCTGTTCTGGGCTCTTGTCCTGAAAGCCTCATCCTGTCCCCTGTCTGTCCCCCACCTCCCGTCCCTTCCTCACTGATTCGTGTCTGCCTCCTCCCCCCGCTCCTCGGGCTCACGGCTCTCCCTCCGGCCCCACCCCTCCGGCACTACTGGGCCACCCAGCAGCCGGAAAAGCAGCAGACGCCCAACAAGAGGCCTTGGGAGAGCCTCCGGAAAGCCCACGGGACGCCCACGTGGGTGAAGAAGGAGCTGGAGCCGCTGCAGCCGTCGCCGCTGGAGCTTCGCAGCGTGGAGTGGGAGAGGTCGGGCGCCACGATCCCGCTGGTGGGCCAGGACATCATCGACCTCCAGACCGAGGTCTGAGCGGGTGGGCGGCGGCCACGCACTGGGCCATGGAGGAGGGA